ACATTCTGTTCGCCTTTTTTATTGCTTCCCCACATTGGCGAGAGTGGGACATGGAAGCATCAACATACATACCGATGTGGTAGGAGTGGTAGGAGAAGCTGATCTAGAGAGCTAAAGTAAAGAGAGAAAGGGAAAGGACCAAGGACAGAGCCTTGGGGAACAGTTGTTATGATGTCTGGCAGGCATGAGTCAAACCAGCACAGAGCAGATCCCTATGATGCTAAGTTGAGAGGGGGTGGCCAGAAGGATTTGGTGATTAACTGTGTCAAAACTTGCAGAGTGGTCCAGTAGAATCAGGACAGATGACTGGGATGCAGCTCTTGCGGCTGTCAGTGTCCACAACAGTGAGGAGATCAGTGTCAATTGCGTGTCTCAGTCTGAAACCAGAGTGAAGATGGTTAAGGAGGTTGTTCTTAGTGAAAAGTTCAGAGATTTGGCTGAGGCTAGGATGTTTGAGAGTTTTGGACAAGAATAAGAGGAGGGAGGCTGGCCGATAGTTTTCAACCCATGAGGGATCAAGTCAGGGTTTTTTAAGTAGCAGTGTTACCTGAGCCTGCTTAAATGCAGCAGGAAAAGGGAAAAGAAGATCCATGTATGAAGTGATCCATGTGGGTGGAGGCTGTGGAGAACTGCTGTTAATGGCTGCCACCTTCTCATGGAAGAAAGTGGAAAAGTCATTAGCAGTCAGGGTGGTGGGTGGAGGGAGAGGAGGGGGGTTAAGGAGGACACTGAAAGTGGAGAATAACTTGTGAGCGGCTGTAATTGCAGCAATCTCTCGGAAGCGGGTGATTTTGGCATCGGGGATGAAGGTCGAGAATGATGATAGAAGTGACTGATACTCAGCTAGGTCAAGTAGAAGTGACTGAAACCACCGATACAGGTGGATTACTGTATTATTACTGATCAAATCATTACTTTAGCAAAATAGTACAATATTTAAAAACGGTAATGAAAAGTGTTTGACGTTCGTTTTTATTTCAGTTAGTTTCTGAAGCAATTTTTACAATTTTCATTTAATTGTAGCTTTTTATTTTCATATCTTATTTTAATTTTGGTTTGCCAAACATTTTCTTGTAGTTTTAGTTTTCAATTTTGTTAACAAAAATAATCGCAGTGAGGATCTCCCTGGATTAGGACAGCACGTTACATGCGCTACCATGGAGGAGTAAAGCGTTTGACCTTTGAAAGATTTGTACTCACCTACTGTACCTCAAAACAGTCACTGACCCCCGACCAACCTTCCTTCAGTTTGCACATGCTTGTAATTATTCTGCAAATGATGAAATCAACATGGGACTTCACTATATCCTACAGCACCTAGATCAGCCAGGATCCCACATATGAATACTATACTACTTAATGCCAGAACCCTCCCAATTTAAACGTGTCATATGTGATGGCATCCACAAAGTCTTCTAGACTGACTTTCAAAAGGTAGAGCTTCTACACACTGAAGCTGAGATTTTTATGTGGGTTGGACGTGCTTTTCTCGCAATCCACAAGTGTGGTTGCATTATCCAAAAAGTTTGCAGTACACAAAACAGACAGTATGAGATGTAGGTTTCTTCTTCGGTCTGGGCTGAATTGAGAACTGCACTACCAACAAACAGACTACAAACCCAGGGACCCCCAGTCCCCTTCTATACACCCTCGTCACCTACAACTGTTACCTCCAAGAAATTATCATTAAATTTGCTAATGATACCACAGTTACTGGACTGATTACTGGAGTGATGAGACTGCAGGAGGGAGGTGATAGATCTGGTGGTGTGGTGCCAGGACAACAGTGCCAGCAAGACAAAGGAGATGATTGTGGAGCCACAGAAAAGGCAGAAGCAGCACACACTCCGTTGCACGTTCATGAGGCAGCAATGGAGAGTAGTGAAAACTTTCAAATTCCTTGGCGTTCCCATCAGCGAGGATCTCACTCGGTCTCACAACACCGATCAAGTGATGAAGAAGTCACAACAGTGTCTGTACCTCCTGAGAAGGCTTAAGATGCTTGGCATGCCTTTCAGAATTTTTAGCAATTTCTCTGGGGATACTATGTTGAGCACTCTTACCTGTGCCATTACAGTCTGCTCGGGAAGCCGCTCTTCACAGGACAGCCACGCCCTACGGTGGCTGATAAGAACTATCCAGACCGTCTGAGTGACAGTTCTTCCAGCTCTGGAGAGCATTTATCACACCAGGGTCATCAGGAGGGCCTGTAGCATCATAAAGGATAGTACCTACCCCCAGCACATCAGGAAGACACTACAGGAGTGTGAAATCAAAGACCACAAGACTGCAGAACAGTTGCTACCCACAGGCTTTCAGGCTTGTGAATGACTCCTGCCCACTGACCCTCATCCCTACACATTCTGTTAACACAGTCTACCTCCAACCAAGGAGGTGCTGCTGTTTTTGCACTAAAATCCTGGCACATGCGAATGGCCAGCAGTCTGTCTGCTTCTCTTATCCACTCATTCGACATTTGGACCATGTTTGCATTGCATCATTTTTACGCATTTATTGTTATAACTGTATACAACTTTATTGTTTTACTGCATGCACCTTAATTTGTACTTGTGGTCTGTGTTTTGTGTTTAATTTGTGTTTACTAGAAGGACATAGGGAGTGAGATTTTTCTCCCGCTAATTTCCACTTATGGCCACGAGTTCTAGTATTTAGACTAATATTGAAATAGTCATTTGGCTGAACAGCATCCACACCTGTTAGAATCTTTTATACCTGGATCATGTCTCCGCATGTAAACAATCCTATTTCCCATCTTTGAAAATCCCCAGGAAAATCTTTTAAACTTCTTAACATTTTTTTCTGATTGTTTTGGAAATTATTTACTTTTATTAATCCTACTTTGCTTACTTATATTTGCATTGAATTTCCTCAACTAGGGTCTCATAAAACAAAGTAGTGTGATGTCTGGCTGTGGAAGCTGTCCCAGCAGTTTATTTACCTTTGTGCACAGAATCGGATTTGTTTCCTCTGTGTTTGCTCTGTTTTGTTTTATTAAAGTCAATATTATGAGAACAACTAAAATACATATTTTTCATAACTTATGATGAATTACTCATGACCAAATATGTCTCAAGTCTGAAATGTTACATGAATCTACACCATAATCCAAAAAGAAGATTTTTGAAGCATTTTAATATTTATTTTTCTAGGCACAGTGTGCTTGGAGAGCAGAAGGACATGCAAAAATGCTGTTTTCTTAAACCGTGCAGTTAGATTTAGATTTTTTTATTTTCATTCTACTACTTATATGAATGTTGTCATGAAGGGTACTTAATTTAATTGTAAAATATTTTTTGCAATTACTTAAAATGCATCTTGGCAAATTTAATGTCAGTTGAATGCAAATGGCACCATGGTCTATCAGTGCACAAAAATCATAAAGATGCTCTGAATTTAGAGGTGGATCGCTTAGAAAAAATGTCAACAAAATAAGATTAACGTGAGCCTAGGGACAGATTTCAGATCTGAAGCTGGAAGATTGAATTATGTTTCATAGGGGTTTGACCTTTTGATAACAAAAGATAAGGTTCTTGATATGACTTTAAGGATTTGAAGTGCTTTAAAGTGATTGGTAGATCTCATTTACACCTCCTCAGTTGCAATTTAAAAGATCTCATTATGCTTTTGTATTTCCTGCTAATTGTTTTAATGCTTCTTTCATTGTGCATGGGAAGATTTGTTAAAGCAATGATGACTATAATTAATGGTAAAATATGTAGGGAGGTACAGTATACAGCTGCTTAGGGTTCCCTCCAGACATGAAGTGTCTTAAATGGTGAAAGTCTCACATGCACATTAAAGAGTTGCAGAATAACATTTAAATATCATACCCAATATATCAGGAGCCACAGAGGGGCATGTGGAGACCCTTCCACTATGTCTCAGGGGCTCAAATCGCCTTCATGTTAGCGCTGGCATAAATGGCTGATTTTCACATTAGGAATCTAGACATGAAATATTTTTATTGATGAAAGGGCGTCTTAAAAATCTTTTTTTCCTAATGCAAATATTCTGTCCCTGTCATGTTTTGTAATACATACAAATCACTGCTGGTTCACAGAGTCAACTACACTGTGGCTCCAGTCCATAAGCAGTGTCTGCCTGAATTAGCATATCTGGAGTCTTGTTGAGGTCTTGTTTGCAGCATATGTTTATTTATTTAGCATTTAATTGTCCTTTTCCCATAATAAGGTACCTTTTTGTTTTGCTTTGTTTGTTTTGTAGAGCCAACAGTCATCCTGACACCTCCAGCAAACCTGGACGTCACAGTGGGCGAGAGCGTCGTGCTGCCTTGTCAGGTGTCCCACGATGCCACCCTGGACCTGAAGTTCTCCTGGTTCTTCGGCCAGCAGCCTCTGCATTTCAGCTCCCACGGCGGCTACTTTGAGAAAGTGGGCGGCGTGAGTAGACCGTAATGTATGATCTCCCCGTGAGACTGAAAGCGACAGGTGCTCTCTGAAAAATACCTCGCTTAATGGACTTCATCTGTTTTCTGTGGCATTACTTTCCAGGATCAGGGAAAAAAGGGACTGTGGCCACGGCTGCAGAAAGGGAGTCATGCATAATGAATGTCAGAGAGCAATTTTTTTTTCCATGTTAAAAATTGCCTTCAATTTATTTATGATTCTGGTAACAGACCAAAACCTATCAGTACAACTGGACAGAGATTTATTATATTCCCCTAGTAAATTTGAGCAGAGGAGCCAATGAAGGCAGCTGTATGTGTAACACTGACACATAAGCGGATCCTAGATGAATGTCGTGCAGGGAAACTCCTGATGTGTGATATGTAGGTAAGACATAAACTAGATGAGTCTGCGTTTGTTTTTCTCTCACATCAGTCAGCTTGTAAATCACCTGATAAAAATATTTGATTGGTTTGTGGACTTCCTACAAAGTCTGTAATTTTATTTGCATGACTGCAGCATGCAAATATCCATTGGTTTAATCAAAATTATGGGGTAGAATTACTTCTTCTGTCTTGCCTAAGCATTCCATCATTTTAAATATGCAGCAAATCCACCTTGTGCCAGGTCTTGGCCTTCAGGTCTACGCTGTGTCTGTATGATGGGATTCCACCAAACTGCTGTGTTTATATAAACACATAAACGAACACATAAAATAATGCAAGTGTGAAGATTAAATGAAGTCTAATTTTATGAGCTGGTAAGAACATTTTTAAAAAGTGCCTACTATTTCCCATAATTTAGGAAAAATGCCCACAATATCCACCACTGATGATTAACATCATCATTTGGCTGCTGTAACAATGCAAATTTCCCATCTATGTGATTAATAAGGATTGTCTTATCTTATCTTATCTGATCTTATCTTGAAACATGAGGAGTGTCTCATTTCAAATCTTCATAAATATCTTCATCCTTTTCTGTCACTGAATCATTTTCAAAACCAGGTAAACTCTCCATTTTAAAGACAAAAAGCATAATGATACAATTACTCCAATTTTTTTAACGTGAAAACAAAAATTAAAAACAAAAATTACAATAATAAAATGCATTATAAGTAGTAATAGCAATAGCTTTAATATTTTGCTGTAGAGAAAATCAAAAGTTTGATTTGACATAATTTGTCATAATCATTTGAATATTTCTTGTTTTCAGCCACATATTCAGATTTTAAATGCGTTTGAAAGTTTTGTGTAATACGCTTGCAATAATTTATGCTTGGAACAATAGGATGTTCATTTTAACCACATGCAGTGGTGTGCACAGTGATTAGAACACCTCGAAAAGCTTACTGTTTTCATCCAATTATCATCATACTGGACCATATTTGAGAAGTTGAAATTTTTATCAGTATTTTCCTTTTCCAATAAACAGATATGTCAGGGTTGAAAAGTAATCTCACAGCGGTTTGGAACCATTTTCTTATGAACAGTTAGAGGTCACAGAAAAATGCTTTTGAATTGTTTTCTCCAAAAGTTTCTGAAACCATTTTTCTTATACAAAGTTCTGTACTGAATTCAAACGTTGGATTTAATCTGACAACAGGCTAAGCTAAGCGATTCAGTCAACTAACTTTTTTCAGTTGGAAAATCTGAAATGTGGTTGTCCAGAGTCAATATTCTTCTTTCAAATTCCAAATCCCTTATTTTTCTTTCAAAGTCCAATTATACTTCACTCAAGAATAGAAAAATTGTAACAATATTTTTTGCTCCATGAACAGTATGACAGGAAGATAATTTATTTGAATGATAATTACACAATAAAGTAATAACTAGAGATACTTGGATGACAGATTTGATTATTATGTTATTAATCTATGCAGTGTGAACATTTTCAGGATTTGCTGCTGCTGTCAACAGAGCTTTTAAGCTTTGATGACCTCGTGTCAGGAATTAATTGCGATTTTGGCGCAGAGAGCAAAGTGGATGCAGCAGGATACGTAGCAGCTAGAGGGTGACAGCAGTAAGGATTCCCTGGGTGAAAGGCTGTGTCCATTCTAGTCTGATCTTAAAATATGTCATTTTCTCATTGGAACTCTAAACCGTTTTGTCGTTTTCTTCAGTCCAACTACACAACGCGTAGCCAAACGTTAAATCCTCATATCCGATATTTTTATTCAGCAATGAACTTTTATCTCATTTTGATGTTAATGTGATGCTTGCTTTTTATTATTACTACCATTCCCTTGATTGATTCCACATTGTTTCAGTAGCTGGGAAAGGGGACTTGTGTGCAATCAGGCTTTTAACTGGCATGGTTATATCTTGTTTGTTTCCTTTAGCAGCACTCAGCAGGTGACATCATGATCAGGAACATTCAGCTGAGGCATGCTGGGAAATACAGTTGCGTAGTGCAGACTGAAGTGGACAGCGTCTCCATTTCAACCAGCGTGGAAGTCAGAGGTACCGTATGATCACACCAAACCTGCAGATATTTTTGGGCCAGCTGTACTGACTAGAATCTAAGTTTCAACACTAACTGTCAGTTAGTGTTTTGTGCAAATTATAAATGGATTTTTGATATGTTGACAAAATTAAATTGCGAGTGGGATGTTTTTCCATTAGATGCCATGTGAATAATACTTACCGTTTATCATCCCACGAGATTAAGTTCTATTTCTCATACTGTGACAACGAAATGGACGGAGAGTATAGATCAGCCTTTAGATTAAGTGAATGTCCCCCACAATGTGATAAAAATCTGTTATTTTGATGTTGTGGGGACCATTTTTCAGGTCCCCACAAAGATCTGTGAATGCAATCAAAAAGCTAAAAATACCAAAAGACTTATATTTTGTTTGGTTACTTATGGTTAAGGTTAGGGCTGGGTAGGGTTTAAGGTCGTCATGTTGGGATTAGAGTTTTCCCCAGAAAATGAACCGGGATACGGTTCAGGGCAACAGGATATCAGGAACACTGACAGACCATGAAGGAGAACAGACAGGCAGCACTAACATCTAACAGCACTATCATCGACAATGACTTTACTGTGGAACATCACACAGGAAGGACCAGATGAGGGACAGGTGTGAGTGATTTGGAACTAGAGAGAAGGAAATGGGATGGACAGCAGAGACCTCTGCTGACCAAATGCGAACACAACAGGATTGACAAAGACGGACCGTGACACATATTTCACAATGGAGACGACTTCCCATGAGTTAGCCGCTCTAGAAGAACTAATTATCATTTTATCTTCAAAACTCTCATATCACCATCTTTTGGACATGTCTGCTTCAGCACTTTCCACTTGCTCTGTAACACCTGCCGTGGCTCACCAAAGCCTTTGGATAGCATATATCCCGCCAAAACTCTTGAAAAACCATGCCGTTCAGCTGTTGTTTGCCATCTGAAATGGTTGTAATTTCCTTTTCTTTGATTATATTGAGAAAGATTTCCTCACGCCACATAAAACGCGCCATGTTTTACTTACATCTGATCACTACCAACCCACAAATCAAACAGGGCTTTTTTAAAAAAAAATATGTTGTAGATTTAGTAGTTCACATCTTCAAATTGTGCGAAATCCAGGTCGATGAGAACATCGCCACTGCACAGCATATTTTGGAAGCAAGTTTAAAAAAATCATTAAATCCATCTCATCCTTTCATTTCCTGTAACTGCTTGTCCTATTCAGGGTTGCAGGGGGTCCAGAGCCTATGGGCGCAAGGCAGAGAACAACCCAAGATGGGGTGTCAACCCATCGCAAGGCACACTAACACATACAGGAATGTATATAAGGCACACTAACACATACAGGCATTTTTTTCATACCATTCTAAATAAATTTCAGAGACTGTTGTATGTGAAAGTCAGCTCTTCCATCTCTCCCCCCATCACCTGTAACCACTTGACCTCTCCAGGGTGACAGGGGGTCTGGAGCCTATCCCAGAGGCTACAAGCGCAAGGCAGGGAACAACCCAGGATGGGGCACCAACCAATCGCAAGGCACACTCACACTATGGGCAGTTTGGAAACTCTAAGTGACCTCAGGATGTTTTTGGTCTGGAAGGGAAAACTGGAGTACTTGGAGAGAACCCCACAATGGCACAGGGAGAATATGCAATGTGCAAACACATGGAACCCTGGCAGAGACTTGAACCTGAGTCCCAGAGGTGACAGGCAACAGTGCTAACCACTGCACCACTGCATCACAACTTTAAAAGCCATAAAGTCATAAAATGATAACATTTCATGTGTCACTCAATTCATGTGCTTGGAAAAGCATGTGGCTGACTGTTTTTCACAGGTTTTGGAGTACTGTGGTAACATGTCAGCGTCTTCATTAATCAGCCCTGGTCGGTTAGAATCTCCCTTCCATTTCAGGTCCCCCCGGCCCCCCTGTTGACCTCACTGTGGAGGATATTGGTGACACTACGGTGGCTCTCTCCTGGAGACCTGGTCTGGACAACCAGAGTCCCATCACTACCTACACGGTCCAGGCCAGGAGCCCCTTCTCCCTTGGCTGGCAGGCCGTTACCACAGGTACGCATGTCCCTTGCTGGGCCCTCGTGTGCCCAAGGTGATGGGCCGCTTGCATGTCTGTTGTTTCTTGTGTGGCCTAATGTCACACTGTAAACTTGGAGGGAAAAACAAGCAGTCCAGTGTTGTTATGCAGTGAGTGTTAGCTGTTGTGTATCGGTGCACCATGCACAAACTAGCTGAACTCACTGTCCTGTAAGTGTTAGCTAAGCATGAACTGAAATGGCACAGTCATTTCCTTAGCGAGAGTAGGGGTCTGTGTTGTCTCTTTAGCCATCTTTGTACGGCAACCCACCAAATCAGTCCACACCCCCTACTCTAATGTGAGCATGTTATGAACAGGTTTATTCCTGTTTTGTAAATTAATTTTGTGTGTGTTTGTATGGGTGATGGTGGTAATGTACATGTAAAGTAATGCATATGTAATGTATGTGTATATACACTGTAGGGATCAAATGTTCCCACAATGTGATAAAATCTACCATTTTTTCAGTCCACACAAGGGGAAGTTTTATAATGATCTGTGAATGCAATCAAAAAACTAAAAATGCCAAATAATCTTGTATTTTGTTTGGTTGCTTATGGTTAAGGTTAAGGCTGGATGGGCTAAAGGTTTTTCCGATAGAAATGAATGGATGGTCCCTACAGAGATATGATAACAAACGTCTGTGTGTGTTTGTGCGTGGGCCTCAGTTCCCGAGGAGCTGGGGGGGCAACAACTGATGACCACGGTGACAGACCTGAACCCATGGGTGGAGTATGAGTTCCGTGTCCTGGCAACCAATGCCGTGGGCACCGGGGAGCCCAGCAAGCCTTCAAAACAAGCGCGCACCAAAGACGCATGTAAGACGCAATAAAATTTTGTATTTTTACCATATTCTTTGGCCTGTTTTTGTATGAATGATCAGCGTAAATATTCATAGTAAAATTCTTTCTGTGTCCAATTTAAAATACTCACAGATTTTTTAGCAAAAATTGCCTTTTTTGCCGTGTAGAAAATAAAGATACAGGAATGTATATAAATGTATCCTAGAGCTACTCAAAGGAGAGCAGATAAATGATAACAGTCACTGTCCCCAAAATGCAGCCAATTTCTATGTAATCTTGGTTTCTTACAAGCTACATAAACAACTACTTCTCATTTGCTTCTCTTCTTTTAACAGTCATATATAGTTTTTGGGAAGTGTATAGCTAGACATTTTACGTGAGCAATTTTATGGAAATTCTGACAGGTCCAAGTAAAAGCACAAAGCAAGCTGATGTGCATCCAACTGTTTGAGTCTAATTTGAATACATTACCATGGCCTTTTCCCGTTTGAAATGTGTTACCCAGGAAACGTCATTTCTATTCCATTCCATCCTCTAGTGCCTAAGGTCACACCTGCCAATGTAAGTGGAGGGGGGGGAAGTCGCTCGGAGCTGGTCATCACCTGGGAGGTAAGACAACATGATGTAGAACCACATGTATCTAGCCCCTAGTATCATATTGCTGTGCTCCTCAAAAGAAGAGCGTCCTCCACCTAAGCTTATATACAGTATTTCAGACCCCCACAGCTTTGGGCTCAGTGGAACCCAGCTGTTTAATCAATCCATCCATCCATCCATCCATCCATCCATTCACCCATCTTCTATACTGCTTTTCTATTAGACGGAGCCTAGCCGTATAACATTCCTCAATAATATGAAAATGCAAAAGTATAAAACGATCAAGCAACTGCATAAATGAAGCCAACTGATTAGTAAATGCAGGGTAAACACAGTATTTTAAACAGATGCGTCCACACAGGTGTTGTTTGTGAGTTTTATTAAGCAGTTAACATTCCACCATGCTGAGGGTCATGTTTGAAAAATCCCAGTAGGTGCAGTAATCTCTTGTTTTTGTAACCATGGTTAAAGGAAGCATTACGGTTTATGTTTGAGAGAGGCCTGATAATTATAGCACACAAAGAGTGTTCGACGGGCCTATGGGTCACCAGCAGCAGTGACTAACATAATGTTGGTATGAAACTCTAAACCCAACCTAACTGATTGTTGGAAAAGCACATATGTCCGTACATTCAGGATGAAAAGGGATGTAAATGTAAATAATTTGGCTGGGAATGAAAAATGTGAACTAGCAGCTTAACCAATTATAGTCTACTGAACAGTACACAGAAAGGTGACTGAACTGGAGCATAAAAACCTTATTACAGATACTGGTGCATCGGGCAGCTGAAAAACGTCTCATGGGCAGCTGTCTGCAAACCCTGTTCTCTATAAAAAATACATGTTTGGCAGGTGATAGAAGAAACCTTGTTTCTTATGGTTGAGGGATCTGGCAGGTCTGTTATATATGAGGCACATGTTCATAGTTTAGGCCCAAGCCAATCTGAATGATTGGTGAATCATTTCCTTTCTGTAGAAGTGAGACCAATCAAGGTAACAAAGCTCCCATCCACACAGCATTGCTGGGCAATAAATGGTTTGATGGGCATGGGAACAATGCAAAGCTTGTGTCATGTCTGTCCCTGCCTGCATGTTTCAGCCCACCTGAAAGTTTGTGGGAGATTCTGCAGCAGAGCAGAGTGCATCCGCTTCTAACGATTTCAATAAAATGAAATCTCTCGTGGAAGAATGGTGTTACATCCCTTTGAAATCCTAGATGTTTGCAGCATCAGTGACAAAGCAGCGTTTCCTATGGATCAAGATGTTTGGCATGAGGGCAATTTTGCATTCACACTGCAGCTGCCTCAGAAAATCACCGCTGATGCTACTACAGTATGTCGCATGGGGATAGATTAACGGGTCATTCCCAGATGACAGCATGACGGCAAAATAGCGACATATAAGCGGGTTTCAGTGTGTGTGTGAATAAGGAATAAGAGATTGAGGAGAGGAATGTGTTTTTACCCCCCCTCCTAACTTAATGCGTTGTTACCCCCTCCTAACTTAATTCGTTGTTAGCCCCGCCTAACCACCCCTCCTAACTACCCCCTCTGTCTACCTACCTCATCTCTTTTTCTTTTTCTTGGAAAATACCTGCGTAAGCTCATTTTATTAGAGCTTCCTAAGAGAGCCCTGCTAAATGACATACAGCCTATTAGTGCTGTTAACCAGCTGAATTCCATAATACCTGCACGGGGTTTGGAATTGGGCTTCCAGAGCAAGTCCCCAGGTGCTGGATTAAATGATTGATTGGTTGGATAGATGTTTTCTGCCATGGCGGCAAAAATTTTGGCACAGCTGGCCGCTATAGAGAAATGTTCCCGAGTTTTGTTAGAACCCGATGGCTCTAGACACTTTAATTTGGCGCTAAAATTGTAGTTATTTTATGGTGTGGCGATTAACATCAGAATTGAGTTAATACAATATGATACACAAATAATAAGCTCCTAATAAGTTAACAATAGTAGCTAAAGATGTGAAATGGCTGGCTTCTGCCCTTGGTTACTTATGTGCTACATCGTCAGGCTTCTGGGTACTACATTCCTGCACAGGTTTTGGCGTTCACAGTGAGCGAACACAGTTGCATGACACAGGGAATGGTAGTGAGCCACTCCTTTTAATTATTGTGGGTATTTTGTGTTATGGGGAACAAAACCGTAAAACTGGAAGAAGAGGGAAACACTGAGCTGAGAAAGTGCCCCAGCCCACTGGACGTGCAAGTCGTCCTGCCTGCTGTTTCACAGTATTGCAGCGTAACTTAGTGGCACGGATTCTGCCGCACCCAGTACATATGCAGAGCCCCGAGGGCCTCACACTGCAGCAGTTCATTTTTCTCTGTCCAGTGTTTCCTTTGTCCGAGCGATAACAGTGCGCCTGCATGATTTATTGTTTTTCACTTCAGCAACAGAGGGGCTGTAAGGAGAACTGTCCCCTGGGGGAAGAAGAAATTGTCTTTCAGCTTTTAATAATCTAATTAAAAGCACAGGGTTCCTGAGAAGCTAAAGCTACATTGTAGCAGCTCCCGTCTCCCTGCCTCCACATTGTTATATGGGAGCATTAGTCATTTATCATCTGGCTCTAAAAAATGTCTTTTTCAAAGTATTGCATTTGAACCAGGAGTAAGCTGGGAACAGGGCAAACTTGATCCTTTGATGTCAAAAGTTGTCTTTATAAACTAAGGAATTTTTTATATTACAGTGTATTTATTCTCCTTTTATGTCTTTCCCTGTATTTAATTAAATGCTGCAGCATGTTTACGTTTATATATATACAGTACAGTACTGTGCAAAAGTCAAAGAAAATGAAGTTTAAATGATCTTCATGTCGGTGTAAAACTATGATGTCTGACATGGTGTGAGCACAGCCGTTTCAAAAGCTAAAATCACTCCAGAATTTGCAGAAAATATCCAACGCACCTATGTATTTTTTAGCTCGACCACTAGCACACCTCATATGGCTAATCAATACCTCATTGACTTGTTCGCTAGTTTAAATAATTTATTAAGTGAGCTATTGGTGAAATTTAGGGAATACATGGAATGGCTGAGGTACCCCTAAGGAGAAGTTTGGGAACTGAAGTGACGTTCATCTAGCCATCCAACTAAATATCAGTAACTTTTTCGAGAAGAAATTCTTGTTAGTTTTTTCTGTGAAACTCTTAATTGTCATATCTTCTAAAATTTAACTGTGTGTTTTTTTCTGAGCCAATTTATTTTTTACTGCCCAGACAGATAGGTTGAAACATTGCCTTTGAGACTGCATAAGACCTTTGCAGGGTACTGGAGGTGAATGCTAATATATTCGCCACTGTTCACAAATGTCTGCTGCCAGATCACGTGAGGAGATGTTAGGTCCTGAAATCTGGATGCAATGCCAACGTAGAGGAATTATTTGATAAAATAATTGGAGTAACAATAACTCCATAACACACACCTATTGACAGAGTGATACAGACATAGATATACAGTTGTAATTCTAATACACATTGATACACATTTACAAAGGTACATACACGTTGGTCAATGACTGAAGATGTTCATCTGTAGGAATAGGTATATAGGTTGAAAGTGGAAAAAAAAACACTTACGATCCCTTAATATGGTGTGTTTTTCATTAAGAACCATGACTAATATCCCATCTACACTCTCAGAAAAAGGGTGTAAAATGGTACCTTTGCTTGTCACTCGGCCTGTACCCTCAAGGGTCTGCCAATTGTAGCTTTAGGTATAGATAATTGCACCTTTCAAGGTACTGAGGAACAATGCTGTTTGTACCTTTGGGATCTTCCTCACAGTCCATTTCTGTACCTTAAAAGGTACAGTACAATTACAAGGGTACAGCCCCACTGAGAAGCAAAGGTACAAATTTATACCCTTTTTTCATAGAGTGTACTACCCAGGATAGTCTTCAAGCCAACACAACCCTGTACAGTCAGACCTCGGAGATTTGCGAGGTTAGGTTCCAGAACCCGTCGCGAATGAGGATGATTCGCGGATGTTTGGTAGTCACTAAAAATGGTAATATATGCTTATTTCTATAGTTTAAACCCTAAATATGACCCCATCATTCTCCCAAAACACTTTAATTTAAAAAATTAGCTTAATATATTACCTTTAAAAAAACAAATGTTTGATATAAAAATAGAGTACAGTATCGCCTAACAGATATTTCTCACACTAGCACATTTACAGTACAGTATACTAATGTTACCCCTACTAATTCATAGAACACGGCATTGGCTGCCGTTTTCTTTTGCATTCACAGTAAGGTAAAATGAGTAAACGAACGGGACTGTAAACTTATTGACAGAAGTCATATACGTAACCAAGGTACAATTCAATAAAATATGTATAGGAAACGTACTGTACGTACAGGGTACAGGTATTCAGTCAATTAAAAATTACGCAAAGACGTGCAGTAATAATAAGTTGTAAAAATACTATGTGTGCTAACCATGAAAAAGAGAGAGAACAAAAATGTATACACACATTAAAAATATTTAATAAAAACAGTAGAATGAAATTGTCGCGGATCTGTGAATTTGTGAATCACAAAGCGCGAATGCACAAGGGCTGACTGCATTTGAGTTACTGTTTGCAAATGGATGGTCCAATGACTCTTCAGTAATAAACGTTGGGTAATCAAAGAATAATATTACCATCAAGGAGTAATGAAAGGTCTAAATAAGAAACTATGGGTTGGGCAATAAAACAATAATGATATAAAACATATCATGACCTCCTATCCAAACAGGATAGTGTTTTAAGTAGCAAAAGAATAACAATACCAGAAATTAACATATTAATTTTATTTGTATATTTATTATAAAAATCATTTATATTTTCACTTTACATTTTCATGATGTAGCTGTCACCTAGTTGCTCGTTATATGGCAGGTAATTGTATATGTATGTATTTCGATAAGCCACCAAACCCCATCTGTGATAAACTCAGGAATAAAAATCAGCCTGTATAACTGGAAAGAACCAATAAATTGAGAATTATCGTGATAATTATCGATATCGACATCTTTTAAAAATTGTACCATTTATCTTTTTGTAAGGGATCCCATTCGTTTGAATTTCACTGAAGTGGTGCCAGATGCCATGTTAGTGGAGGAGTGGAGCTAATCTGGTATTGATTGGCACTATCATGTTCAAATCAAAAGAATTTTCCATAAACACATGCTGTGCTGGTGATTATTCCAGTGGAATTGGAAATATCCAATTTGTCAAAAAATCTGAAAATGATTCCCTGATTTCTCTTAAAAGATGGTCCAGGGAGAATGTAGAGTATTTTTTGCTTGGAAATTGGTAATAAGACTTTTTACGTTCGTTCAGGCTAGCAGACTGTTATGGGTTGAGGTTAGGGCTGCCCAAGTATTATTCCTGAATTTTCTTTGGAATAACACTTGCGATTGTGAAGGGAATATTAGAATTGTGTTCTCCGAAATGCCATTCACAATTACTGTTATCTTGTTGGATGGGGCGAAGACTACAGCTTCGCTCCCTAACCTCTCCAGGGAAACCCAGCAATTCCAATTATTTGTTTGATTTCACCAACAGAACATTTAATTAACTTAGTGAAACAGCTTCATGAGGTTTTGATTACTCAAACAGGGTGTACTAGTGGATAAGTCCCACAAATACATGCATATATTGGAATTGCGAATACTTGGATTTTGAACTTTTGAGGTTTTGAAACTAACTTCTCGTCATAGGTTTATGTAATGTAAGAAACATCATTTCCTTTGGCTGCCTAAGACTTTGCACAGTACATTATGTGTAGGAGAAAGCAATACTAGACGGCCAGTTGTTGTGTGGTGACACATTGTTACCGTTACATGCTAATGTGAGTTTCCTGTGTGCAAACGTCTCCCGGTGCCTTCAGCCTGTCCCGGAGGAGCTACAGGCAGGACCTGGATTCGGCTATGTCGTGGCATTCCGCCCAAACGGTGCCACCGGATGGATGCAGGCAGCCGTCCCCTCAGCGGACACCTCCCGTTACACCTTCAAGAATGAGAGCGTCTTACCATTCACGCCGTACCAAGTGAAAGTGGGCGTTTACAACAACAAGGGGGAGGGGCCTTTTGGGTCTGTGACCACCATCTACTCCGCAGAAGAAGGTAGGACAGTGGAAGCAGTCAAAATAAATGATTTGGCAGCTTCAGTTACTGAAGATGAGCTTATTTTGATTAATTGAGTGAGGCGCTGGACTTGACATGCTTCAGAATATGCCTGGCTGTATAGATCTGAAAAAGCATCACTTTAAATTAAGTGAAGTATGTTTTATGGTGAAAGTCCAGCAAAATAAATGATGCAGAGGCATTCGGTAGAGTGTGTGTGTGTATTGTTCTGTGTGTGTGATGGGGGGGGGGGGGGGGGGGGGGGTGAAGCAGTATGAAATGTGTCTCTAGCCTCCTGGGTTTGGGTCATCCCGACTGGAATTTAGTACATGGCACAGCATGCTGTCATCTGGGGTTCTGCTTTAGGCTGGGAGCTCTCGAAGATTTCAGATAAAGCTTTGAAGATAAACAAGGCATCATTTTGGGCTATTTTGGTCAGCAGAGTTAGATGGTAATCTACACAATAGGAGTTAAATGCCAGCACCTTGCAGACATTTGTGCTGTCTGGGGTTGATCCTCGCTGTGCTTGCCACAATGGTCTAGACGCCTGTGGATCCAGATAAGGTTCCAGGAAGACAGGCTGGGTGGAAAAGGAGAAGATCAACATATCTGTCAGGTCTGCCATAATGAAGATGGACTGTAGGCCCATAGACTGAAACGGTATGGCAAGTACCACAGTCAGTTGCCTGACTTTTCATCAATGCTGTCATCTTGCAGAGCCCAACCGAGCTCCCTCCAGGATTCGGGCCAAGAGCCTTTCTGCGTCCAAGATCGAGGTCACATGGAAGCCCTTGTCATTGCAGACTAGAAGGAGAGTCCTAGGATATGAGGTAAGTGGTAGACCCAGTTTCACTTACCAGTTTATTTGATTCACATCTGTTGCCAGTCTACAAGCATTTTAATGTACTTGTAACATTCATATGTTTATTCCCTCTTATGTGTATTTGATAAACGTAACAGATTTATCATGGAGAGTGAATGTCGCACTTGCCCAGTGAGTGAAACTCTGCCCCTTTCTATGTGTCAGTTGAGGTACTGGGGGAAGACGGAGAGAGAGGAAACGGCCAGTGTGATGAGGACCATGGGAAACAGGACATCAGCAGTGCTGAGTGGGCTGCAGGCGAGCAGCACCTACTCCGTCGCCGTCAGAGCGTACAACACAGCAGGCCTTGGGCCTGGTAGCTCAGTGGTCAATATTACCACCAAGAAACCTCGTGAGTCTCATAGGTTTTGGCCTGCATGCCAATGAATACCAGTGTCACATCACTGCCCTGAATTGCCAAGAAAACCCTGGTCTTATTACCCAGACACCCCAGGTGTCATGAAACCGGCATGCATTACCCATAAACCCCCAAAGTCCCTCGCTGTCCCTTACAGAGAAGCCCAGTGACTCCTTCTATGACTCTGTCATATAGCTGTCATGCCAAGGAATACATTTTATAAATCAAGAGATATCAAGGTACATGCCATTTTAAAACATATTATCGATCTATCTCCCTCACCTCTGTTTCAGCACCAAGTCAGCCCCCTATGAAAGTCATATGGAAGATGTCGAATTCAAAGATCATCCTGAAATGGGACCAGGTGAAAGCGCTGGAGAATGAATCAGAAGTGACTAGTTACAGAGTAAGAGACACTCCACCTCATTGTGTTTAATACTCACTAATCCATACTTCCATGATGTAGTGTCACGTTTGCAAAGCAAATTCCTGTAGGGGGTTTCCCACTGCAAGAACTTTTTTCATGAACCAGAACCTTTGTCTGGTACCTGGAACTTCAGTTATGTGAAGTTGTGAAGTTCCTGAACTTTTTTTACTCCGAGTAGGTACTTTTCCTTAGACCAGGAGATACTGGGAGGGTCTAACAGCGATAAATTTTGCTGATTGGTTAATCACTACCATCAATGCTAACCTGGAAAATTCAATCGATGACAGATATTTTTTTTTTCTGCGATATGAGACAAAAAATATATCAGTCATCGATTGAATTTTCCAAGTTAGCATTGGTGCTTGTAATATGTATGTGTGTGTGTATGTATGTGTGTGTGAGTGTGTGTGTGATATATGCACCATATACATATATTACACACACACTAATAATACTGTACATAAATGCTAGATCAGAACTAAAAAATACAAAGAACCTTTTTACTGAGTCATTAACGGAATTATATTAAAATTCACAGTGGCCTTTTATCATATGTTGTGTACAGTACATTTTCCTACCCCATGCCAAGGGCTTACATGCTTATCAGGGAACATTTGTCTAGAGATCAGTGAGCTCTGTGCTCACACTGGCAGGCGGTAATTAGCACCTGTGAAGTGTCGTCTGAAACGGAATCTCCAGACACTAATGAGTCATGCATAATGCACATAGCGGCCCTTAGTGGTCATACTGGAAGCAGAACAGTTCCAGCAACTCCAAGTCTATTTAAAGTAAGACTGTTTGTCTCCATCTCTTTCATACAGTGTTATAGCAAGATGGTTAAAAGAACTGCCTCTTTCTTGCAATGTGTATTGGCAAAGTTTTATGCCCATATTTGGGCCAAATTTCCTCTGCAGTGACAGCGCTGTTGAACGTCTTTCTGTGTTTTGTTCTATGGAGGTGGTTGGAGTTGTTTGTCTGAGTGATGTGTAACACCCCACTTCCTGTCTATGGTGCGTGTTCACATTCACTGGTGTTATCGCCTGTGCTTATGCTGTTTTGCTTTGATAGATAGTGTGTTCAACGCTTCACTTCTACAGTAACCCGTGTAACACTCCAATCCAAACCAAGGCATAAGAAAATCAAGTGGCTGCTTAGGGCTCACTGGCCACCAGGGGGCCCCCATGTGATCAACCTGTCAATGCCAACTCAATTAATAAAATTTTGCTTGGGGCCCCGTAAAGGGTTGGGTCAGCCCTGGTTTGTGCACTGTGTTGGTGGAGCATCATTTGTGTAAAATTCCTTGGTTTCTGAAATACCTTGGTGTCTATGAATATTGCGGGAGATTGTTTGTGTGAGATTCCCTTGTCTCTGTAGATGATGTGAGGGTGGAATGTCCGATACTTTCTAGGTCAGGTACAAGCAGAGCAGACACAGCTGGACCAGCATGGTGGAGACCAACACTACCTCACTTGAGCTGGCGCTGCCCATCGACGAAGAGTACGTCATTCAGATAGCGCCCGTTAGTGCCGGGGGCGAGGGAAACACCAGCAAGGAGATCACCATCCCCAGCATATCAGGTTCGAGTGCACAGATGTCTTTCTATACAGGATGATTGTGGTTCTTATTAAAAATATTGAATTTTCCCCAGAAAATGGAATGTAGACTCAACTAACCTGATGTCAGAGCTTTTTACTAAAGAAAAGATTGGAACCAAGGAATAATAATAATAATAATAATAATAATAATAGTAATAATAAATAGCACTATGTGCTTTGGACCCTTAATAATAATAATATAGTAATTAACTGTCGTTGCTTTACACTATGCACCCATATAACACAATTGCTTTATACTGTGCATTAGTATATAAGCTCCATTTTTGCAATCTCCCATTACAAAACATCCTAATTTAGAACTTAGTTACGTAATTCAACAATATACAAAATTTTACTAACTAGTCATTTTCCAAAACCAAATTCTGTTAGGACGTTTTAATTAATCCCCCACCATGACCCCTTTTCCTCAGTTGCAAAGTTTTGCATTTCACAACACAACAAAAGGGACATAATGAAATCAAATGGATTCAGCCAGGTGCAATTTTCTTAACAAATATTTTAATCAATGTGCAAAATTGTTTATAAATAATGAAAGGTAATCATAAAGTTTCTGAAGTTCTGTCAATATAAAATTAGCTTGATTATATATAATCATAATAGTTTTAACATTATGGAGTTCTAATGACATGTTGAAGTTCAAACAGTATGGCAGAAAAACTGCAATCAAGGTTGTGTCAGTAATGTTGACCCAATAATTAAACATAGTTAACTGGATTAAACGATATACTGCTCTATTCTTTATTTATGCAATAGATGACTCCCTTTGTTATTCAATGTTATTCAAGCATAATACTCATCCATTATTCTAGACACAGGCACATGTAAAACGAACAAACAAACAAACAAACAAATACACAAGGGTGCATTTAGTTTTCTAAATCTATTGAAGTCATTACATTCCAGTCAGAATCTATGGTAACAAAACAAAATGCAGCACAGGAAGCATGATAAGAATCCTTGCAGAAACAAGTAATCAACTCATTAAAAACAATTAAATTGTTAAATGGCAGAAAAGTAGACAAGTGACAGATACAGTATGCCATGTTATATTTAATGAACAAATAAAGCACAATAAAACACACAGCCGCAAACTAAACTGGGGAATAATATTTGCTGGTGCCAAGAAGCCTTAATGCCTTTGCGTTTTGTGCTGTCTAGGTGAAAAGGTAATGCTCTAATGCTCAGAATGGTTTTCTTCTTCAAAACTGTAACAAATAACATACCTGCAACCTGACACTCTCACATTGATTGCATTTATTACTGTGTGTTAAGGACGTACATATCTACTATAATCTAGTATAGAGCTTTAACATCAGTGTTGTTTAACTGACAGTGGTTTAAAAATGTTTGCATTGCAGGTCCATATGCTATAAGCTCAACGTCCAAGATATCCAAATGGTCGGCGCTGAGCACAATAGCTCTGTCCGTTACAGCCAGGACGACATTATGACAAACAGCTCCGTGAAGTTTTTGCATTCAGTGAAGGCAATGCTTCAGGGGCTGAGGCTTAGGCAGCACGTACCAGGGGTCACAGACGGCTTCACTACCGGCCAGTGCTTCAAGACCAACTCAAGGTGGTCCCCAAAATGGGGGGAATCTGCAAGTCTTTTTCCATGATTAGAGGGAAAATGCAGGCTTGAGTCTGTTGTTCCTGCTGTTGACTTCACCAGACAGAAAAAAAACAAAAGAAGAAGGAGGTTTTACATGCGCTCATTGAATGACTGCCCTGTAGATTTTGTATTTGCCAGTAGGTGCAACTGGCAGCTTCTTTCCAGTATGGAAATGAGGGTTCTGGAATTAAATGTCTAATCCAAGAAGATCTTTCTTTGGGAAGGAAGACGATAAGATGATATTTTTTTTTAACATGAAATCCTGTTTTGCATCTCGCTTCATATCCTTTTTCACATCTTTTTTTGAAAATAACATGATTTTGACGTTGCTTTAGTGCCGCAAGAATGAAAAACAGCCATGGTTGTATGAGTCACCTGCCTGTTGCTCTCACAAGAGGTCACACATAGATTTTACGTGAAGCTCCAAATCCTGATTTCTGTGGCTCGCACCTACAGGAGGGCTGCATCACCCTCAGCCCTGCAGAGACCCAGCCTGCCCCCGGCCACTCCCTCCTGTCCCATGTGTTCTGCTGTAACCTTGTTTTGTCCACTCATGCCTATTGCTGGGTTCCACAGCCTCAAACAGCTCATTGGACCCTGGAAGGTTCCCCCAGCCCTCCTGCCAATAGGAAAACAATGGCTTCCCTCCATTTGTGCTGGTCGAGGGCCCCCATGTTGCCACCCTTCGCCATGTTGCCACCCTTCGCTTCCTCTTTTCTGTCCTGTGGAGGGCTAGCGCATAAGCCACCAAATTTCCTAGGTTTTAAATCCTCAGGGCTTCAAAGAGCCTTAAGTATATTTAGAGTTATACTGCTAATAGTAATATGTTAGTGTGTGTGTGCGTATGTATGTGTGCAGGTATGTATATTTGCAAATACATACATAAGTGCATACATATTTTGCTGTTCTTTTCCACTTTTTAAATTAGCATCTGAAGATATGTGGCAGGTCTTGCAGTTCGTGTAATTAAATATAGCTCATCTCATATCTGCAGAGGTGTCAGTTAACAGCAGTGACTGTATAGCATGGAAAATTGCATTCTGTGAGGCTTGGAACATTCGATTGGGTCTTGACTGCATTTACCTAATAAGAATCTGATTCCCCTCCCCTTTCTTTTTCCCGTGTGGAGCAGGTGCAGCACAATGCGAAATGTGGTACTTTGTCTGGTCATAGAGCCCACGGGGTCTTGGATGTGTTAAATGCACTTTTTGTATTTCTCAGATTCTGGATATATAAAGATATTTCTATTAAAATCCAAACCTTTTTTAATGTCTGTTTTCTGTTTCCTTGGGATGTTATTGCTTGGGCTTTTCCTGTTGGCTGGTAGAGCTGTCTATCAGTCTCTCCGTAAAGCTGATCGAATCGACGGCATAAGTCTTGCATAGGTGTGGACCCTACGCCGTAGTCTGACATGCACCTCCCCAGGAATCTAATTACACGTCGCAGCGACGCAGACCGCAAGGACTGATTGGGCTGTTTGGTACATTTGTTTTTTTAAATAGGAGCGAAGAAACGGACATGTCAGGTGAACTTATACCGCTAATTGAAACTGAAGCATTATTTATATCTAGCATTAAATAACCCACCCTGGGCATCCTAACATCGGGTCTACAAAACACTCGGATGACAGCGCCAGTTTCGCATACCTCCAGTAAGTTTATTCGTACTTTACAAGACTGATAAAAAAAAAATCAAAAGTAGTGTGGATGCCATCTTTAGAAGGGAAAATGCATAAAAAGTGACTTTGTAGTGGCTCGACATTTTTTCAAACATGTCTACGGAAAGTTGGGAGCAACACAAACATGACCAGAATTCGATAAATGAATACTTTGTTAAATGTTTGGGTTTTAAATTGCGATCCAACAGTTTTGCCGGTGTAATTGCTGGGTGACACAGACACACCAGCACAAGTAAAAATGCTCGCAATCGGCAATGGCGTTAGCCACTTGCTTGCGTATGTCACGGCTTAGGCTCAACACAGAAGTGAAAAACAACCTTCATTTACACCACACGTTTCCTCAAAATGGTGCCCTATTAAGTGTACAGAACTCTTAAAATCATTTGTTCATTTAAAGTTGATGTTCTTCACAGTGGCGATTAATGCTGCTTGTCCGCTTAATCTGTCATATATATATAGTAAATACACGCACAAGCTGAAGTGCTTGACGGAGAATTCCGGACTCGGATCTGAAAAAGACTGCAGTGGGTTGCCAGGTTAGCTGCTGTGACGACCTGGGAATCATCCTTGCAATCTTGTGACTTTAAAGCTTAAACTTTTAGATGTGAATATTGTTAAACTTGTGTATGTCACATTTCTGCAGGATCAGTGCTGTGAATTGTGAACATCTGAATTTCATTTTGCCGTGTTGCGGATGTAAGGGTTCAAACAAAGACGCACTGTAATACTCACACCAAGTCGCAACGGAGGGGCATGGATACCTTGTCAGATTCAAAGGGCCCGACGCCATATTCGGGCCCCAAAATCTACTGAGAGGGACCCCCGCCAGCTCAGAACAATTTACCAAGGGGACCTTAGGTGACATTTTGCCAGGGGGGCAGAATTTATGGCTACGCCTCTGGGCATAGTATTGTAATTTCCGTTATAAATGATTTGACAGCCCCAACCTAAAGTGTTCACGAATCAAAGAAGTTTAGAAGGCGGAGTCCTGGTCTGACAAAGTTGTTTGCCTTTTACTCCAATTTACTTTTCAAGGAGACCGATGGACCAATTTCTTTGAAATTCCTGGAATTACCACAAGATGGCGATAGAAAGCAACATGTGAATTAAAAGCTTCCTATTACACAATCCTAGCCGGTCCTAAATCTGTCAATCATTTTCAGCAGCGCAATGGTTTGTGATTGTGCATTTCTGAGAGGTACGAAGTGTACATTTAAAATAAAGTTAACAGTAAAGCACCAAGAACGTGATAAAATGAAATGGAAAACATGTTCGTGCAAAAATACAAAATTTTGATACAATTAAAATGAAATTACATATTTAACTGCTGTGCCCTTCATCATTGCCTGCACTCAAGTTAAGTCACATTTTGTTGTGGTTCAGGCTGTGCACAGTGCATGGCAGTTATCACAGTCGATGGCACAGGTGCAGTATTTGTGAATTAAGCAGTGTCATGATGCTAGAGGTGATTATAGTTAGAGAACAGAAGCACAGTGATGATACTGCTAATTAACATGCAATAATGGCCAGCATTCCCACATTCTACATAAAAGCATAGACAAAAGTGGTGAGCATTCTCTATGATAGCAACAGATGTATTACGTGTATCTTAATCAAGACGACATTAACATAGCGTAAAAATACAATGACATTCTGTGATATTAAAAAACAGAAAATTTTAAAAATGGCATTGACAGTTTAATCCCACACACACCCCCAGGTCTTCACACAAATATGTAGGGAAAAAAAACACCATGAAGCATTATACTACATGTGACATTTATTAGTGTGTTTATTGAATGCAGATACAGTGTACAGCAAACACTCAGCATCAGGCGATGAGGGAATGCACTAAAGTAAGGATCAACTGAAAGGAGAGTGCTGGTAGGGGGGTAAGTGCAGCGGATGGTGAACGGGGCGGGGAGTTTCTGGGCAGTGGTGCGGACTCACTGGGTTCAGAGTGATGGGTCCTGCTCTCATCCCTCCCCAGGTTTATTCATTCCTATGTGGAATTTCATACTGAACACAGGGGTACTCTCTAAAAAACACCTGCATCCTAGTGATGTCCAACTGTAGAAAACCTGGCCCCTTTGTAACGGTGTGGGCTAGTCACACATGCACCCGTCGTCTGTCTTGGACACGGAGCAGTAATGCATACAGGAGGGTGGGATCTAACTAACAGCAGGCAGCGTTAATGGAAAAGGCGGAGGGCGTCATTTAGAATGCTCGGGGGGGGGGGGATCTCCACGCTCTTGTGCAGACAGCCCCACACGGCTCTACATACCCTGCCAAAGACAATCGGGATGCGGCATCACTGAGAATCCAGGCTGTCAAAAAAACTGGAAGTACCTAACTTTCCTGTACCACTAGACACGTACCACTGAGCACCCAAAGTGCAGGTAAATTGGAATAGAAACAGGTTCTCTCTTACTGCAACATAAATTGTGCGTTCACAACTTACCAACTAGTGTCGTCACTGGGATAGTAAAGAAACAATCACGCTCGGGTTCAGTACTGAGCTTCATGAAAGCAGTTTTCTTGGTCTATACACACACACACACACACACATCTTCTAAAGACTCATGACAAGGACCCACGTATCACACTTCTTGAAGAGATTGTGGTCTCAGGTAACAAGAACATAATGGAGTAAAAACAGGGGATGTTTCCCATTTCAAAAAGACACTATGCCACAGAGAGGAGCACATTTTTCTGTACTGTCTTTATAAGAGATCAAAGCTACAGACACTCACTTTGCTCTTCTCTGAGCTCTCAAACATGGACACCAGTAGTCAGTTTAAGGTCTTCTGGCTCAGTTTATGATACAGAGGCCTGCAGTTCCATATGACATCATCCATTGCTGCAGGCAACAGATGATACTATAATGGTGTCTCTAGGCTGATCAACCACAAGTGTTGTGCCCTGTGATAGTGACCTAAGGACACATTTTCCCACAGGAATTGATTCAAAGCTATACTAATGACTGAATGTTATACGGCACGCTACAGCTGAACGTATAAGGTCCTCAGATGCACTGAACAACATGCAGACACTGTTTCACACAGCTAATTCTCCCTAAATTATGAAAAGGACCTGTTCTAAACCCAACTTCATACTGTATATACAACTGGGAAATCCAAAATTTCGATTGAAATATAATTAAAAATATTGTCGCATCCAAAGAATACGTAATTCATAAAGTGTTTTGTTTTGAGGTCTGACTGCCAAAATTATAACTGTGTCATTGCTTGGAAAGGCTCCCAGATGGAGTGAAGCAAATGCCTGGATAAATGTGTTAGAAGCAAAGCTTTTGGTCAATGATGTTGGTATAAAAGCTCCATTAATAAAAACCTGTGCTGTTATTGCTTGATTATTTGCTATGACTCTGATGGTGCCCTTCGTAATCAGCTCTAAAACTGAGGCTGTAGTCGAGGTCTTCCTCAGCACATTTAGGTCGCCTTTCATGCACAATGACTGTATTTGACCTGTTAAAACGCATCAGTGTTCAACACGCAGGGTCTTGCTTTAGTCCTCTGATCTTGCACACTTATAAAAATTTGCCGTCAAATATTGTTTGAAGTTCATATTCTGACACAGATGACCAGACAGATATGTATTACCATTGTTTTGCCATTCCTGCTTCCTGATTGTGGAGAATGACATCATTATGGACGGAAGATATGGACGGATCTATGGATGCAGTTTAGAAGCAGTTTGGCCTATCACTCAGTGACTATGATTTTTTTTCTAACTACTGGCTGGATGCCATCTAGAACAGGAATACTCCTTAGGATCTGTTCTTGTTAATTATTTTACTGGATTTTATTTATTTATTTATTTATTTTTTTACTAAGCAGGGTCACCGTGCTGTGGTAATCTGGATGAACCAGGGGATGCAGTAGTGACTGTCTGCTTTAAAAGGGTTAGGAAGCAGGCAGGTTTCAGACAGACACAAGAGTATCAAAATGAGCACACATGGAGCCATTTTTCGTGTGTGGGCAGGCAATGGGGTAAGAATGGGTTAAAACTGTAGGGCGACCACGTTTTAGGTACGGTTTAGGTATAAGACCGCTTTGGGGGTTTAGCTGTAGAGGGCAGACGTATTAATGGTGGAAATCATGATGAGGGTATGTAAGACATGGTTGTTTGAAGAGTGAGCAGATATCTAACAGGAGTGAGGGGACGACTAAGAGAATGGTTGTCAGGTGTTTCGGGCATGCAGGGCCCAAAGGCTCAACTCGCATCCTGTCCCCATTGAAGGTGCTCACGGCCGCCATCTATCAGTCTTCAGGACTATAAGAGAAGAGCACACACAGGGTCAGAGGTCACACACAGTGGTGTCTCACGAGGTTCACACTTACATACCCTTTTCTCATTCAGCCTTGGATTTTGCACAGGCAAACACATTTTATACTTTTTATACATCCCATACTTTTGCATTCCACATTCACGCATACTTGAGAGTTTGAATGAAGTGCACATTTACTATGAATTGTTTATTTTTATTCTTGTTTTTGTGATACATTTTTAACACCCCATGACCCTGTGATTATGCATGCCATTTCTGTCCCACTCATAAATATCTAGAGCAGACTTTAGGTATTATTCACACAGATTCAAACTTCATGTTTAATTTAATATAGTGCTTTTCACAGGTCATCTACTGCCATCTACTGGAAAGAGTAGGAAGCACACACTACCTCAGTTCTTCTGTGTTTCTCCTGAGAGGAAGTTTCAGTTTCCCTGACAACTACTGCCTTGGTTACCAGCATATCAGGATGCTGCTGTCTGGCCTCTTGTATCGCCATGGCTAAAGCCTACGGAGAATGTTAAGGCAATG